CTGGTAACTTTTGTCCTTCTTGTATGATTCATCATTGCCCATGGATGTTGAGAACGTGTTGGCAAGTCACAGTGGGGAGAAGACTCATGTGGGCAGAAAGAGCACGCTGAGGTACAGCTGGCAGTGTCCAGGGCAGGTGGGGTATCGAGGGCAAGAAGTGGCTGATTTTGTGACTAACAGGAGAGTCTTCTGTCTTACTCTCTGAGGAAAGGTTTGGGAGCACCAATTAACTGCGATGTGCCAAGAGGCAGGATCTGCGGTCTCTTGCAGGTCTTGAACTTGGCATAAAATCATGGTGGTGCCTTGGACAAGGCAGTGTTTTAAGCTCTGACATGGAATTCCATGGTTGGAGTTTGTCTCCCCAGCTAGAACATGTGTCCTGCTTCTGATCTTCAACTACTCTGAAAAACAGCTGTGTTCAGTTATGCTCAGCCCCATCTACTCCCAGGGAGAGTAAGTAAAGTATTCGTGACTTTTGGGATAGTCTTACCCAAGGAAAGAGTTTCTCTCTCATCTAGCTCTCTCCTTTCCTTTGTTTTTCCTTTCCACTGTTGTGTTGCTCAGTCCTCTGGTAATCTTTGTTCAGGGACATTTGTTCAGACAAGCTGATCCTAATGGTCTCTTTGGGCATTCACAGCCAGCAGGATGGCTGTAGCAGGAAGCAGACACGTGTTTTCTCAGTACACCATCTTATAGTTGAGTACCTAAATAGTCTCTATCAGTCTGAGATACTCTGGATAACAGTCCTATCAATGACTTTACGACATAGGGATGTGCTCTAGCATCATCTAACCAACATCTGGTTGAACTTTAATCACTACTGTGAAAGTAAGGGCAATTTGTATGTGTCCAGATTAATTTAGTTCTGTTCAAAAAAATTATTCGTTTTTCTCAGTCTCATAATTATCTTGATCCTTGTCTAAGATGGCACAGTAGAGGCACGCAGAGAAATTCAGCCCTTGCTCCAAGTTATCCACAGTATCAATCAAATGGCTGAAAGCGGTGAAGGGCTTGAACCATTTAGAGTCGGGGCTTGCTGCCCTTGTTGAACATGGCTGCTCCAATAGTGTCTAACACCTGAGAGCACCAGGGCAGCTCTGGGGTGGGTATGGGATTGGCATTCATTTTGGTGGGCTTGGACTCAAGCTCCATCTGTGCCAGGGATGAGATGTCATTCCTAAGCCCTAGGGCAAATGATTCCTGCACTAAAACAAGCAATGTAATTGCCCTTTTCACAGAACTGCTGATGACAAACACTGTGGTTTAGTTCTCCCATACTCAGATCTAAAGTGTAAGTCTACCAGACCCTGATAATAGGATGGGCCTTTGTGGACTGGGCAGGAGGGGAACCATACGTCCTAGAAGCAGGGTCTCCGGAGGGCAGTCAGACAGTGTGGGAGAGGGCAGGATGCTTGGACAAATCCAGCTACAGATGTTGTAAGTAGAGAATTAGCAGCTGCTGGCATCCAGCTAAGCCCCTACAAGGAACAGAGACAGATCACGGCAACACCAGCTCTAATGAAGCAGTAGCAGCTGCAGGAATTGCTGCCCACCTGAATTGGGGGGGATTTCTTTCCCCAGAAAACCAGCAGTGTAGGAGCTCTGCTGTTTGAGGGATGTCTTAGTTTACACTCTGACTGTATGTGCTTGAACACAGTTTTTCGGAGACTCAAACTGCTACGTGAGCTGCTTTTGTAGAAGCACAAATAATAATATTGCAGAGTTGTTGCATCACTGAAAGTGGCCCAAGTCCAAAGCAGGATTTGGTTGTGTGCTTCAGGCGATACGGTTATGTGCTTGTACCAGATGGAGACTTTAAATTTTCATCAGCAGGTTTATAAACACAAAGAATATCCTTTTATCAGCCCCCAGGTCTTTTACTAATAAGCTGCAAATGCTGAACTTCAATTAGCATGGACTGGAGGCGCAGATGAAATAATATACATTCTTACTGATGATTATCCATCATGTGAGAATGAAATCAAGACATGAGTAATGACCTGTTTCAGTTTTGGGGGCTTTTTTTTGTTTTTTGTTTTGTTTTGTTTTGTTGTGTTTTTTTTTCCCTTTAACACATGCTTGGTAGTATAAATGAGTGAAAATTGCTAAAAATAATTTGGGCCAGATTCTCTGGTGATGAAACTCTATTTCAGGCGAAGGGAGTGCGAGTTTTCAACCCTGCATTGACTTCTGTAGGTGTTGGGTCAAGCCAACACAAGGGTGTGTGACAGCTGTGTTGTTAAGTTTGCCATGGAAGAATAAAGAATTTACAAAAACTACAGTTTTCCTGCTGCTGAGAGCTGGCCAGAGAGGTCTAAGCTTTGAAGCAACGCTGCTGTGTGTTATCAGGGAATCCCAGCTTTCATGAGTGGTGCAGGTGCATGGAGAGGGAAAGGGATTGATTAGTTTAATGCTGCCTTTGCCTTTAGCAGCACATTTGCTGGCATACGTGGCGTGCTGTACGTGTGCCCCAGCTGAGAAGCTCTTTCTGGACCCTGCAGGCATTCAGCTACTGGGCTTGTGCCCCATGGTTTATAAATCATTCAGGAAATTCGTGCATTACAACAGCAGTATCAGCTCTTTAGAGGGTGTCGAGGAAGGACCTCTACCTCAACTGGTATCTTTTAGGGAGGAAAAGGGTTGAGTGTATTTGCAAAGATCAGTCTTGGCACATAGTTTGAGAAGGTATTGGGAAATTGTCAATAAAGCTGAGGAAAGGTACAACTTGGTGGGATATAGATTGGTTCTGGGAATTCTGCGTCTAACTTTTCATGTCTTGCCTTAAGAAGGTTTTGCAGGAAAAGTAATCCACTAAGAGGATAGGACCTACTGTTGAAACATAGAGATGCATCAATTTGAATCAGTAACTGAAAGAAAACTGTTCTCCCAGTAGTATAATTGAGTACTTTCTGACTAATCAAACCCCAAAATACACCCCTGAAATACTTACCGGTCACTTCTTTGGTGGATTGTGCTTCAACAGAGGATGGCTGCTTTATAGGTCATACTGGCTTAGAATAAGAATAGAATAGAATAGAATCATTTAAGTTGGAAAAGACCTTTAAGATCATTGAGTGCAACCGTAAACCTAACACTGCCACTTCCACCATGTCTGTTAAGTGCCACATCTACATGTCTTTTAAATGCCTTCAGGGATGGTGACTCAACCACTTCGCTGGGCAGCCTGTTCCAATGTGTGACAACCCTTTTGGTGAAGAATTTTTTCCTAATATCCAATCTAAGATCACGGAAGAAAGGCGGAACAGCATTGCTAAGGTCTCCCCTGACACCATGAAACCAACAGGATTTTGCTCTTCCCAGATCACATAGGGTTGAGATTTATAACTGGAGGCAGCGGCTGCTCTTTTACAAAATATGGCTGTGAGCTGTGCGTAAGAAGTAGCAAGATGACAGCACGGCACAGGGGCTTGCAATTGCCACAGGAGTCTGAGCGCAAGTGCCACTTGATTGAATTATCAGAAATGCATGAGGCTTCAGTTCTAACTTAACGTAGGCACCGAGGCTGAGAGATTATTGAGGCAGAATGGACCTGTTGTCTTTGATTAGCTCTGATTTGCTACTCTGATGGCATATATTGATGCTAAAAGGCGGCCACTAAGCTTTTCTTTGTACTGCATTGGAAATGACACATTGCAAGAGGAGGAAAAGTTCTATTTAGAGTTGCAGAATCAGAGATGAAGTGAAATTGAAAAGGAAGATCAAAGATAGAAAGTAGGGGGAGGAAGAAAGAGGCAATGTACAGTATGGCTGCACAGACATCTTAATTTCATTTTAATGAATCTCTGACCACTCAGGAAGGGGAGCGTAGCTCTTTGTGTCTGGGAGGGAGAGAACAGCCTTCTGCCATCGCAGTGGGATTTCCTTTGAACATGGTCTCTTACCGAAACGAAGGACTGCACTCTGCTTCATATTTCACAGAACTAGAAAAGACCAAGCTATTTTCTGACTCCCTGCGTCCTGTTTATGTAACTTGCAAATGATGGCTGTGCAACCTCTGGCTGAGCCCTGGGAAATTTTCTTGTCGGTGACTCAGGTGCTTGGCAAACAAGCTGGCGTGGCGGGCTTGGAGATGAGATTGCAGTTAGAGGCACTCCCTGGGTACCAGAGCCCAGTTCAAGGTTCCTTTATGGAGGCTCTTCATACAAGCTGTGTGTGGCTTGCTGGTCGTCCTGGTCATGTCATTGCCAAAAGTCTCTGTGCTGATGCTGTATTAATTATGTGCAAGTACAAAGCATCCCCCTTGATTGCATTGGAGCAGAAAAGAACCATAGCCCTGACTGTTACGCAGAGATGTGGGTCAGCAAGGAAGGAGGAGAAGAGCTAGGCAAGAACGAGTCCTTGGCCTTTACATAAATGGTATCTATAAAAATTCCTGCAGGATGTGGGAAGAGTGTTTAGTGCAGCTGGGCTGCAAAAATGGGACTTCAAGGGGAAGTACAAGGTCCTCTTTTGCAATCGCCATTCCCAAACTTTATACAGTCACCATAACAATGTTGGTTTCAAGGCTCTAGATCAGGCTGAAAGCTGAAGGACAGGACTGCACATTGTGCTGTAGGAGTAAAATTGAGAACTATGAAAAGGGAAGAATTAGTCCCAGGGACGAAGGGAGAAAAAGGAAACAGAGGCAGAACTGCAAACTAGACATTCCTGTGGGTCAGCTGTTGTCTCCAGCAGCAGCAGATCCTGATTTCCACCTCTTTGGAAGTATGACTGAGAGGAGCTAGGAGGTGCATACTACTAAGTAGGTTCAATCACTGCAGTAGGGTGAGGCTGGGACAACTATGAGATCCCCAAATACAGCCCATCTTGTGTGAATGTGTGCAGCAAGCCCCTCTGGCAGTCCAGCCGAGTTTAAAGCAGTACTTAGCTCACTCCTGCACAGAGCCTGTTTGCCAGGCTCAAGTGAAGGGGGACAAAAAAAGATTTTGCCACAGGGATGACCTGGTGACTAACGAGTTTCATTGATCTTGTGCTTGCAGGAGAGAACAATCTACCCTCTGCAGTTCCTGTGAGCTTTTCTGCTGGAGTCTCTGAGAAAACAAACGTGAGATGTTATCCAAAAGTAGGGCTGTGTGAGCCCACTAAACCTGATGATGGTGCTCTCTCATGGATGTATGAACATGATAGTGCAGAAGATACCAGTGTCAGGAAATCTCTTGATGGCTTCTACAAAATGTATTGCAAAAAACGGCCAGGCAGAATGGATCCCACCTACGAGGCTGCATCACGATGTCTGTCACAGAAGATTTCAGAACTAGCAAACCGGGATGGAACAAAATATGCATCGCGTTGCCTGCAAATGGCCCAGGTGGTCTTGAACAGAGATGGATGTAAGATCTTTCCAAACCACCCCACTACTGCTTGTTTTTCAAAGCCAGCTGAGGGAGAAGTTGTCTTGGAAGACAGAAAGAGAACACCCGGACTCTCAGATGACGTCCTGCAATTCCTCTTGAAACAAACACGGACAGAACATAGCCCTGACATGCCACATAAGAAGTGAGCAAGATGCTGGTTTGTTGCTGTCATTGGAGCTTGGCTTTCATTCCAAAAAGAGGTGATTTTCTTGGAAAGACACTGTTCCCCTTAGCACCACCTTAAACACCTCATATTCCATGGAGGGGTTCATCTGGAGCAGACCTCGCCACCTTGACCTCTGCAGGGCAGCACCGCATAAGGAGCATCTGTGGTCCCCCTGTAACTGCTTGGGATGTGTTGACTAATCGGGATGGGTGATAGGTGATACAGTGTCTGTTGCTGGGACATCAAACATGATGATTTCTACATACCAGGCTTTTAAATTGACCTACATCCCTACCCCAGCTGAACAGTGGCCCAGGCCAAATTCAGCCCCTGTGTAGGCATGGATGTCCAAGTGCTGTTGACTGTAACAGACTGATTGAACGAGCTTGGCACAGTATGCCCCAGACCTAGGGAGGAAACTTAAGATTTTTTTCTGTACCTAACTGATACTGTAAAGCCTATGCCTCCATGGGGGTGTCTGATAACTCTGTGTGTTTACTTACAGATGTACGATCCCACAGATCATGATTGCAATGCGGATGAGCTTTTTCGACAGAAAAAGTGTGTGTGTACATGAGACAAAGAGGAAATACAGCTTCTGAGCAGGTTATTTTTTTAACAGGAGGGATAAAAAAAGAGAAAGAAAAGCTTTATCGCCTTAGTGATGTTTCTAACACTTCAAATGCACCAGCTGAGCAGACTGAGGATTTTTTCCTATCTATATGAGCTTGTTTAAGAGCAACCTGAGATGAGTAAGAGCTCTGCAGAGGTGTCCATAGGGAAGCTGCAGAGTTGGTGCCAGCAGCCCTGTAAGATGCAGAGCATCTAGGAAGAGCAGAGCTCATATCTCAGCATGCCCAAGACTGTGGGTCGCTTGATTGATTCTGTAGGAGCAATGCTGCTTTCTCCAGCAATCTCCCTACCCATTAGCCCCTGCTGATTTCTGCTACCATGGGGTCTGAGTCCAGAGCTTGCACAGAGAGGAAGCCAATGCTCATTGCTTGAGTACGCTCTATTGTCTTTGTAGGCACTGCACAAGACCTTGTGATTATTTTCCTGGTGTGTTGATGGTTGAAGAAAAATGTTCTGTGAGATGTTTGAACCATGGAGGTGGTTACTTTCCAGTAGGGATCATCTGGCATTGGTTGGTTACAGCAAAGGTTTGCTTCTTCTAGCAAGCTCTGCTGCTGTTTATACCCAGAACTTTCTTGCTCTGGTTTTAGTTGGCAAGATCACCACTGGCTGCAGTGGGAACTGGCGCAATTCACTGGTTGCCCAACTTGAGTTGTGGTGACTATCGCTTGCCCTATGACATTAAAAGGTAACCTGAAGGACTAATTTCCAGCAGTTGGTTTGATCACTGCCACCTGGGGGATTTAAAGTGCTGTGGGTCTGATGCATCGCTATGAATTTGGCAGGCCTGATTCTCCCTTGCTTTGTGCTTGTGGAAACTGGGAGTGAATCCCAAGGGAAACAGCTGCATGAGGGATGTGGGACTGGGCTCCCTCTGTCAAAGCCTTGGTGGGAAGGGTGCTGCTGTCGCACAAGGCTGCAATTCAGGCCCCTCTGCTCAGCATGTGGGAGCCCTTTGAAGCGGTCAACCAGGAGCAAGCAGAGCTTCCGATCCCTCTCTGGACAGGTTGTTCTTATAAATGTTCTGTTCTTGAATGATGTATCAGGCTCTAAAAGAGACATTTAGGTGGGAGAAGATAGTTACGTGGTAGTCCTTACCAGGGTTGCCAGGCCCACTGCTTTGATGTAGTTTTTGCTTTGTTTCACAGCTTGCCTGGGGGGCTTGCAAGTCAAAGAAACCTTCTGAAAAAATTCTGAGCTTTGTCTTCTCCAAATTTTTGTTGTTAGATTTTCATTAAAATTTAGAATAAACTTAATTATTTTATGGCAGTTTTTCATATTTGAGGTGCTTACAGAAGCAGAGCAGAGCTCGGCTGGATAAATTAGACTCAAAAATCCCATTGATTTTTAATGATAACAAAACAAGCTAAATGTTTAGGGGAGTCTGACAGTCTTGTCAGATATCTGGTGTTAGGAGCCGAAGCGTGATAGAGTTTAGAACACCTGATCATTTCTACTGTGAAACCAACAGCTCCATTTCTGGAGAAACACTTAATTTTAAGAGGTGTTTCACTGGGATCTTATAGTTCAGTCACTTTTATTAAGTTAAACAAGACTGCAGCACAGAGAATAACACTCATCACTCCTTTTCCCACTCACTGCTAATTAATTTTTTACAAACCTGTGCTGGAACCAGCTGTATGTCTTTCCAAGTCTGCTGAAAGCCAAACCATTTGTATTACTCATTTCCTTGATAAACACCTCTCCTCGATTTCTTCAAGACACGGGGAGATGAATGCATCCCTCCCCTTTGCCAGGTGTTCCAAGCAAGACTCACCAATTGCTTTGAACAGGCTGTACTTGAAAGAAGCATAGTCCTATTTGGCATTTTATGATGCTACATAGAAGAAATTGTAATAACGAATATTACCACTGGTGAGCAATGCACAGGGGGCCTAACTTATGTCTGTTTGAATTTCTTAAGCTGATTTGCAGTTATAACTAAGATGGGTTGCTTTGAATTAACTAAGTTGGATTTTTTTTTCCTCCTATTTTTGTGGGTTCTTTGCTTTTTTTGTGTGTTGCTTTTGTGACTTTTCTCAGTCTGATAGAGAGGAATCTGCCCGTGTTCTGGATCCACAAACTGCTCTTTCACAGACTTCTTCATCCCCCTCTTGCAATGGAGTCTTCAGAAAGGTGGAAGCAGCTTTCAAGGAGCAATCAGCTTAAAATGTGTAGGGCTGCCAGGATCCTGTGTCAAACCAGTCCTCAGCATTGCAGAGTGGGACGGCTGTGTAACAATGCCAACGCGCCTCCCACTGCTAACACAGCCACGGGTGCCTTGTCTTCTGCTGCCAGTTGTAGAGGCACGAACTTGGCCAGAGCTGCTGCCCCCCACAAACAACAGTGTCCAGCCAGTGATGGGAGAGAGGAGGAGGACAGACCCCAGGAAGACTGAGAGCACAGGGAGGAGGAGGAGGGTTTTGGCAGGGGGAAAACTGCCCCAGGAGCACAGGTGGGTGAGTAGGTGCCTCGGATTGAGCTTTTGGGCAGCTGCTCTCCTAGATACTGACCCCCCACCCCAGCCACTCACCCTGCGGACAGGGTAAGGAGGCAGCCCTTCCCTGGGGCAGCAAGACTGTCCAACAGGGCAGAGTGCTCCCACGCTCCTTCCCCTGCCAGTTTAAATGCAGCTTGACAGCACTTCTGTCCTGTTTCCCTCCCAACCATCACCCCTCCACCAACCTCCAGTTCCTTTCTGTCTTTCATGATGGTGCTAATGAGATCCCTGGAGGAGTTTTCCCTTTAAAATGAAAACAGATCTCTCTGAGCCCAAAGAGCCTGATGTCAGTCAGCAACAGAGCAATGAACCCCCACACAACCACTTAAGGTCTTTCTCTTGGAGGCCTCCTATCTCCAGCTCAGTGGCTTCTTTGCTGCTTTACTCCCTCTGCCAGGAAGACGTGTGCCTTTGTGCATGTTTTCCACCCACTGGTTTGTCCACTGAAGGGGTGGTTTGCTGTGGTGATGTTGCTCGCTGATTGGGGAAGCCGTCATTCTCCAGTGTGGACGCGTTCAAGGAAGCATGGAGAGCAAGAGGAAGGGATGTACAGAAGGTGACAGCATATGGGTGAAGAAGAAAGAAGAAAGGGCAATTGGGATCTCAAAGTCAACATTGAGGTTCCCAGCTGATGCGGTTACTCCAGTACAGCCACACCGCTTGCACCAGTTTTAGCATTTGATCTTCAGCGTTTCAGTTTGGAGAGGTCTCAGCAGCTGGGCTGGCAGAGTAAGAGCTCTCTCGTCTGTTCCTTTCCGCGCTGGCCAGATCCCAGCACGGGTGTTTGTGTTTCGTGCATGTCAGATTCCCTGCTGCAGTTTCACATGGGGCTGCTATTCCTGCCTTGCTGCCTCTGGCAGATTGGCACAGCTGCTGTGCTCTGCAGGTGTTTCCAGCGAAGGCAATGGAAATTTGGCTGCTGACTTTAACCAGAGCAGGAAGAGGCCCTGCTGGCCCAGCTGGCTGCAAATTATGGCCAAGATCTCTTACTTGGTGCAGTCTTTCTTTGCAAATAGATTATACTGGGACTATCTGGGTTTAGGTTGCTGTCCTTGAATCATTGTGAAAGTGATATATCCGGCTTCTTGGTGGTTCTGCTTGATGTGTTGTTTGCTTGCTTTTATGGCACTCCTGCCACAAAAGCTGGAGGGCACTCAAAATATTGGAGCAGACCCTCAGCTGCTCCCCCAGCTACTCAAGTTAATAGTGCTAGGGGGAAAAAAGGAGTTGAGATGCGGATCCAGCATCATTTCTGTAGTAGTAAATATATCCACAGGTGCTGGTCTGTCAGAATCCAAAGAGTAGCATCCTGCAGGCAAAAACTATGGAGAAAGGTAATACCAACTGCTTCATCAATAGATAGAGCTGGAAGAAGCAAACTTGCTCTTGAGTGTGCTATCAATAATTACAGTAACAGTACTAGCCTCTCCCTGCCAGCTCACATTGCTTCACCACCACAGATCTGTCACAGGTACAAGGGCATTCATGCTGACGGATGTAGGGAGCTATTGCTAAGAATGTACAGGGAGGAAGGAACGTCTTCAGTATGAATCAGATGTTGTTGCTTGTAATTTTTTGCCAGCATTTATGCTGTTCCACACAGTTAAATATGAGTTGCTGTGCAGAACCTTTTAACTGCCATTTTAAGGGAAATAACCTCCCAGAAAGAGAGAGCTGGAGAAGTCAGAGGACTGCATCTGAATCCCTTCAGTTGCTGTATTAGATTTGGTGATGAATTGGTCTGTGCTTTGGGTTAGCTCTAAAACTACTTGGTCTCCTAGTCAGATTTTTAAAAAAAGAAAAAAAAAAAAGCAAACCCATACAATTTCCACAAAGAAAGGTTGGAG